GACAGATACTGAAGGGTCGAAATGTTGTGATAAATATGGCGACAAAGATAGGACGATAGTCCGAATAATGTAAATAGTGTACATAATACCTTATCTCAGAAATATAGACTAAACTACTTGAGTTTCTTTTTTTCAGGTTTTTAGATAAGACATTTAGCCATCTTGACGCCATTTGTCTTAAGGTTCAGTGAAAAATCCTTTGACTTTGACAGCTAAAAAGAGATCAGGTTAAAATTGTTTTGTGTTAGACCCACTGACTTCCCAACTGAGCAATGGCAAGAGGAAAAAAGATCATTCAGACGTTCAATAATGGTACCAACATTCATACTCTGGTTTCGATGTTCAAAGTCCATTCAAGAACCATCAAGAGAAAGGTGAATAAGTTAAAAAAAAAAAAAGAGGGAGCAATTGGGAGGAAAAGTGGATCAGGAAATTAAAACAGCAAGAGAGATCATCAAATCAACTTAGAGTTAACTACATTCTTATTGTTCAAAGTAGAGTCCAATAGTGTTATATTTTTTTATCATTTTATATAATTTTTATATCATTTTTTATCATTTTATATGATTTTTCATATAATATTTTATATCATCTTATCATTTTTATCATTTGTATATCATGTTGTTATCATTTTATATGATTTTTTATATAATATTATGTCATTTTATATCACTTTTTATTATTTTATATCATTTTTTATAATTTTTTCATAATTTTATACCATTTTTATGTCATTTTTTTTATTATTTTATATCATTTTTATATAATTTATTATATCATTTTTTTATCATTTTATGTCATTTTTATATCATGTTTTTATCATTTTATATCATTTTTATATCATTTTTATATCATATTTATATAATTTTATATCATTTTTATATTTTTTCATCGTATTTTCCTTTCTTCCTTGAAACTCAAGTGGCGCCTCAAATCCCTCCGACATCTATAGTAGAGCTCCACTGATTTGATGTTTTAATCCATAAACATTTTGAAGTTTTTTCTGCATAACAAAAGCTTTTATGCTCATTCGCTGAGTGTTAGAATTATAATTAGAAACCATTTATCTTGTGGGTCAGATAAAAGACTGCATCAAGTGGAAAATCAAGAAATCGCTGGGGAAGGAAATTTAAAAAAATAAAAGAACCTCCCCTCAAACAAGTGACCTGGCACAGCTCTTTTTATATCATTTGTATATCATTTTTATATCATTTTTAAATTATTTTTTATATCATTTTTCATATTTCTTTTTATCATTTTATGTCATTTTTACATCATTTTATTTCGTTTTTATATCATTTTTATATCATTTTATATCATTTATATATCATCTTTCTATCATTTTTATATCATTTTTTATATCATTTTTTATCATTTTATATCATTTTTATATCATATCATTTTATATCACTTTTCATTATTTTATATAATATTTTATGTCATTTTCTATATAATTTTTATCATTTTTAAGTTATTTTTATATCATTTTTATGTCAACTTTTAACATTTTATATCATTTTTACATCATTTTTTATATCATTTTTTATCATTTTATATTATTTTTACATCATTTTATATCTTTTTATAATTTTTATATAATTTATTATCATTTTATACCATTTTTATATCATTTTTTTATCTTTTTTATATCATTTTTACATATTTTTTGTCATCTTAAATCATTTTTATATAATTTTTTATATAATTTTTTATCATTTTATATTATGTTTTTATCATTTTATATTATTTTTTATATCATTTTCATATAATTTTTATATCTTTTTTATATTATTTTTATATCATTTTTTTATCGTAGAGCTCCATTGATTTGATTTTTTAATCCATAACCATTTTGAAGTTTTTCTGCACATTCTGAAATTGCTCTTATGGCCTTTCTCTTTTTTCTTTTCTTTTTTAACTCTCCTCAATCCCCTCCAAAAGATCTTCCTGCAATACTACGACATCCGATTTCAATCGGAAGACAGGTAGACCGCCATTGGTTAAAACCTGCGTTTCTCTACCAGCTCCTAGTATTTTTCGAAATTTCTTTCAAAGGTCTCTTCCAAACACTCTTCCCAAAGTACTATAAGTTCGATCATTACAACTTGCCTGGAAACAATTGACCAGATTATTAAATCCGGGTGCAAGGAAGATGCTGCTATCTACTCTGGGAAATTTCAGCTATCTTCCGTGGTCTACGCTCAACTGCCAGTCTCTGGTGGAAGGAAGTATTCAAGTTGACGGTTTACGCACTGAGGAGAGATTTTTGCCTGCTTTGACGAAATTAATCGTCATCGTTTCAGGCTTGAAACTGCTAACACTGATTTCTGTAACCACTGCTTCGGCTAATGACTTCAATACCTGGTCATGTATCCATTGGCGTCTCCCATCATCAAGGATCCTTGGAAAGGCGCTTAAAATGTGTTTCAGCGTATCTTTCCTGGCACAGAAGGGGGCATGATGATGTATGACTCTTCCTACAAGTATTACAAGTTTGCAGAACTCGGTAGTACATCATACACGGATTTTACAAGAAACTAAATCCGACTGGAGTCGGAGTGCCAGATCTCCGACCAGGTTATTTTCCGCCGTAAAAAATTCTCCTGTGTCCTCCCTCCTGCTGGTTCAGTCCACACATCTTGCATATTCTTTTATCCCCAACGTTGGCTCGGATTTCCTACTGAATTTGTTGTCGTCTCTGCTTGCCCATGGCTTTTTCGTTTCGGTCGCTAAGACAGAAGTCTAGGCCACCTTGGCCTACTGCCAGCCTTCGTACGAGAATCTTCTGCCTTATAATTAGTTCACTCCCTGCACTCAATTTCATTCCACTGCGGACCTCGATGCCTGTTGCAGTCAATTTTGGGTTCTTAGAGTCCCTATACTGCAGGAATTGTCTTGTTCGGGAGACCACAAATTCCTCCACCGAAACTTTAAACGGAAGTTGTAGCGCGTTTGTGGTGCCATATAACGCGACACTGTTGATTCTTGTTGGGAGCCCTAGCCATCTGTGGCGTTAGTTGTTAATTATTCTTTCAATGGCCTCCACTGATGTCATTGGGAAGTCATACATAAACAAATACCAGAGAATTCTGGGAAGCACAGTGTGCAGATAAATCCACAGCTTGAAACAGCCTGATTCCAGTACGGAAAGATGAAAAACAGTTATCAAGGCAAGTGGAACTCAAGCATGATTGGGTTTTGGCCTGAATATCACATGCCCATTACATATTCTAGGTTACATATTGATTACCACCCTTTAACCATTTAAGAGTCTATTAATACATTCCTCTTTTCTTATTTAAACTTTAAGTTTGCATCTTTTTTCCATTATACCCCACATACACTTTACATTTTGTATTTAAACCCCAATAATATATTAAGTTTACATAAACTTTGAGCTTTGAATCTGCATTTAATTTAACGTTCCTCGCATGGGACTCAGTATTTTTTTATAAAACAACTGTAATAAGCGCTTCATTCACCAGTTCGTGCCTGACGACTTGGCAAACCATGGAACTTTAGGTTGCACTACAAACGTAGGTATATGTATATGTATTAATATATACTTCTTAGATATTACTAACTACATTGAGCAATGCTCTGTTTACACCTTAAATATTTTTTGGCTTATCTGTGTATACACGCTAACGCATGCATATACAATTGCTAATATCTAATTATTTGGTTTATACCCATACTTATACACACACACACAAACACACACTATACAACATAACACTCTTGAGCGCTTAGACTTGGAGCGGGTAGAATGGAGATCAACATGTTTTAATGGACTCGGCAGTTTTCAATCAGCTTGTCTGAATCATCTTCAAGAAGCGAGAGCAAGAACTAAAAGGTCAGCCAATCTAACAGTGACCTCATCACACAATCCTCACTGTTGCTTCATATGTGGCCTCCTTTGTAAATCACTAGCGGGTCTTAAATGCCATTTAAGATTATCGCACAAAATTTCATAACTGAAAGCTGTCAGATCCTCATACGTCGAAACCGACGGGAGATTCCATTATTATAACTGTAGTTAACGGAAGGTACACAAGTCGATACTAATATATATATATATATATATATATATATATATATATATATATATATATTCAAGCATGTTTGGTTGAATAATCTTGATATATTATGCCTATTTTTATTTTAATCCTCCCAAATTCAATTTCTTAGTGTTTTTACAAAACTGATTAAGAAAGATACCTTAGTTTTGGTTATTTATTTTATTTTCTCATGTAGTTTCAATTTCATCGAAGATCATCTTCAGGGATGAACTGCAATTTTGTAACAGCACTAAGGAATTGATCCGTGAAATTGAAAAGATTAAAATAAAAGTGTGTGGGGAGAGAAAGAGATATTAGGAAAATAATGTATATGTATGTGTGTGAGTGTTTCTTTTTAGGCAGCATATCAACTACAGCGTGGTCTAGTCAGACAATCGAGCATACTGTCGAGATAACTACAATATCAGATTATTTTTGAGTATATATATATATATATATATATATATATATATATATATATATATATATATATATATATAGTGAGAGGGTTACAGTGAGTGAGTGAGAGATATCGTGGAAGAGAGTTACAGTGAGAGAGAAAGAGTGTAAGAAAGAGTTACAGTGAGAGAGAAATAGATAGATATAAAGAGAGAGTTACAATAAGTGAGGGAGAGACATAGATAGAGATGGAGAATTACAGTGAGTAATATAGATAGATAGATAGTGAGAGAGAGAGAGAGAGAGAGAGAGAGAGAGAGAGAGAGCGTGAGAGGAGGAGTAAAATAGATGTAATCCAAGAGTTTTATGTTCTTCATTTCTTCCTGTTTCGGCCGAATCTTCTATAAACTATATATCGCCTCTTCCTGGTCACCCTGACAGTTTTGGCTATGATCACATCTGGCCTGATCATTTTCTAAGTCAGGTCACTTACATTTGCTTCCCTCGTCTGAAGCAATATCCTGTGCTGGACAAACATCGATGACTAGAAATAGTCTTCACGTCGCCCGTTTGACCTCCATCTCCCAGCATTTGGCCCAGCTGTGTGACTTGGCTTCCCTCAAGCACTTTAACATTCTCTTCGTCCGTTTCTCACTCTCTTTACAGTTTCAGTTTCATCGTTCTTTCATCTTTTTCCTCTGTTCTTTCTTTCTTTCTTTCTTTCTTTCTTTCTTTCTTTCTTTCTCCGCGACTTTACTGTTACTTTCTTTCTTCTTTATTTCTGTTCCTCCTCTTTTCTGTTTCTTTTTCCCCTATTTATTCTTTCTTTCTTTCTTTCTTTCTTTCTTTCTTTCTTTCTTTCTTTCTTTCTTTCTTTCTTCCCCTTACATTACTGGTACTTTCTTTCTTCTTTATTTCTTTTCCTCCTCTTTTCTATTTTTTTTTTTCCTATTCTTTCTTTCTTTTCTTTCTTTCTTTCTTTCTTTCTTTTCTTTCTTTTCTTTCTTTCTCCGCGACTTTACTGTTACTTTCTTTCTTCTTTTTATTTCTGTTCCTCCTCTTTTCTGTTTCTTTTTCCCCTATTTATTCTTTCTTTCTTTCTTTCTTTCTTTCTTTCTTTCTTTCTTTCTTTCTTTCTTCCCGACATTACTGGTACTTTCTTTCTTCTTTATTTCTTTTCCTCCTCTTTTCTATTTTTTTCCTCTATTCTTTCTTTCTTTCTTTCTTTCTTTCTTTCTTTCTTTCTTTCTTTCTCCGCGACTTTACTGTTACTTTCTTTCTTCTTTATTTCTTTTCCTCCTCTTTTCTGCTTCATTTTCTTCTATTTATTTTTCTTTCTTTCTTTCTTTCTTTCTTTCTTTCTTTCTTTCTTTCTTTCTTTCTTTCTTTCTTTCTTTCTTTCTCCGCGACTTTACTGTTACTTTCTTCCGTCTTTGTTTTCCTCCTCTTTTCTCTTTCTTTCTTTCTTTCTTTCTTTCTTTCTTTCATTTTCTTTCCCTCTATTTCACTCTTTCCCTCTTTCTTTCTTTTTTCTCTTCCTTACTTTGTCTTTCTTTTCTCTTCTGATTTTTATAATTCTTTTTGCTTTTTTTGCTTTCTTTTTTGCTTCTTAGACCTTTTTCTTTATTTCTTTATTCTCCCCTTAATTTCATTCTTTATTCTTTCTTTCTTTTGTTTTCTTTCTTTCTCGTATATTTTACTGTTTCTTTCTTTCTTTTTCTTCTACTTTACTGCTTTTTCTTCCTTTCTTTCCTTCCTTCGTTCTTTCTTTCTCTTCTGATTTTTCTATATTTTTCTATCCCTCTCTTTTTCTTTCTTTTTTCTCTGAATTCGTTTTTTATTCTTTCCTTCTTTGGTTCTTTCTTTCTTTTCTATTCCTTTACTTTACTGACTCTTTCCTTTTTCTCTGTATCCTTGTTTCTTTCTTTATTTGTTTCTTTCTCCTTTGATTTTTATAATTTATCTTTCTTTGTTTCTATGGTTCGTGGTTTCTCTGTATTTCACTGTCTCTTTCTTTCTTTTCCTTTTCCTCTATTTTTTTTCTGTTTCTTTCTTTCTTTCTTTCTTTCTTTCTTTCTTTCTTTCTTTCTTTCTTTCTTTCTTGTCGTTTACACTACATGTTTCTTTCTTTGTCTTCTTTTACTCTTCATATTAATCCTTTATTTATTTCTCATACATTAGATCGAAAGTTGATTCTTCAATATCAAAACGATATATACAGCTATTTGGGGCAAGTGGTGAGGTATCTCCTGTCAGCATTTGATATATATATATATATATATATATATATATATATATATATATATATATCGAACTGAGGAGCTGTGATACAGCGAGACAGTACTATCTGCGAATCACACACACACACACACACACACACACACACATATATATATATATATATATATACATGGGACAGAGACATGTAGAGAGAGAGGAGGATAGAAAGAACGACATAGAAGGTGAAAGCGAGCATAAGAGATAAACTGTTTGTACGCCTGCCTGTCTTGATGAACTGCATTTAAAATCTGCTTTATACCGTGAATCGAACATTGATTCCCCCCACCAGCCAATGATAAATACGTCACAATGTGATCCATGCCTTATTTGATATAGCTTACCACTATCGGCCGGGCAAAATCCATTAAAAGCTTACCAGAGTAGGGCGCAATTTAGAAAACCTGTATTCGAAACATTGGCTTTCTTTCTTTCTTTCCTTCTTTCCTTCTTTCTTTCTTTCTTTCTTTCTTTCTTTCTTTTTTTCTTTTCCATTAACACACACACAAAAAAATGCATAAATAGTCCGAGTTTTTCACTGACATGAAGCGGAGTGATCATTTTAAATCAATTGCTTAGTCTGTTGCTAGCAATGTTGGTTCACTGTCTAGTGTCAAAATTTTTCTCATCAGAATCCATTTTGCCCGTTTATAAATTTACCATTCATCCGAGCATTGAATAAGGCCGCCATATCTGCTCTGGTACTTCTGCTGCATATCCCAAGTTTCTTGACAAAATCCAAAGATGATTATATCATTTTATCGGACCTGACCTGATCTTAACTTCAGTCACTTTCCTGTCTTTTCTAAAATATATATACATGCAAATTATTATATCAGAGCTCACCTCCTTGGTATCTCGACCGCATAAATTTAAGCGCACTACTCGATTGACCATTAGGTCTCCTCGTTTTACTGTTGAATAAGTTAGCTGTAAACGTAAATCCAAATATAATAGTTTCTTTGCTTGTGCTTCTCTTTGAAACACAGTTTCGAATTGAGAAGTAGAAGGAATGATACAAAAGCAAACGTGACTATGAGCTAAAAAGCATAGGAAGTTGTGGAGAGCCACAAATATCTCTTTACTGAAAAGACATGGCATTAGAGATTGCCGCCATATGTGCTCTGACGCTCGAGTAATATTTCTACAGATTCTCGACAAAATCCAAAGAAGGCTTTGGGATCATGACTTCAGCCATTTTCCAACCAGCATGACGTGGCTTCCCTGTGTCTTTTCTACAAATATTTTCATGTTAATTGTTCTAATGACCTCACCTCCTTGATACCTTAACTGCATGAGTCTAAGCTTACTACTAGATTGGCAGATAGGTCACATCATTTTACTGTTGAAATAGCTAGATGTAACCATAAGTTATGTTCTAATAATTTCTATTCACATATTTCTCACCTGTAAAACTGTTTTCCGCTTTCTTGGCACCTTGCTACCTATATTAAACAATTATTCACTGTTAATTGCCATTTTCTATCTTCCTGAACCCTATTCTTTTATTGTTCTTTCTCCTCACTAAATTCTTCTCATTCTCTTTCACTTTCAGTAACCCCCTGCGTCTTAGTGGCTTTATCGCCATCTTCTGTCTTTCTGAATCCTATTCTTTCATTGTCCTTTCTTATCACCAAAATTTTCTCAGTGTCTTTCACTTTCAGTAACCCCTTGCGTCTGAGTGGCTTTATAACTTTGCTTGGGGTGAAATGATTAAAAAAAATTAAGGAAAATACCAAGTTCATCTTTTAGCGGGGGGAAATAAAAATCAGCTGAACTTCCTTGTATTTCTTGAAAAAGGCTATTGAGAAAATTCAAGAATCTATTTTTTGTAAAAGTTTGAAATTTCATCACTTAGGAATTTATGTACAGATTATAGCAAAAATTCCTGTTTTTTTTTTTTTTTTCATTTTTTTTATAGAAAAACTGCTAAATTATTTCTTAGGGTTTGAATATCGGAGTGACCTTTTATCTTTTGTTCCATCTAAATCTACCATTCATCCTGGCATTGAAGACTGCTGCCATATGTGGACTGGAGCTCGTCTAATATTGCTAATAGATTCTCGACAAAACCCAAAGAAGGCTTTGGGATCATGACTTCAGTCACTTTCTCACCAAGCATGATGTGACTTCCCTGTGTCTTTTCTACAAATATTTTCATGCTAATTGTTCTAATGAACTCACCTCCTTGATAACTTGACTGCATGAATTTAAGCTTACTACTAGATTGGCAGATAGATGGCTTGGAAAATTTGATGCACACACTATCTATTGAAGTCATAAGGGGTGGAGAAGGTAGTGGCCATTTAACTGACCATCTTGTGTGAATAGTGGGGTGGGGGAACGTGACTATGAGTTAAAAAGCATAGGAAGTTGTGGAGAGCCATATAACCCTTGTACTTAAAAGACATGGCATAAGGAAGAGGTCGACCTCATTTTTCAGGATAAATACATATCGTTTATTTAGGCCATATTAAAAAAAAATGTAATGCACTGCATGAAAATGAGAAACAATTTCGAGAGATAGCACTGTTAAAAACCCTTTCCACACATTCTGACTCTTGCTAGATCTTCTGCTAGGAAAATTGATTCTGTGTCATGCCAGACAATTTATTTTTGCCAAATTCTAAACAGTATTAACAACATTTACCGGCCTGAATGTCCGAGAAATTGTCATAGAAAATATGCGTCTTCCGACAGGAATCGAACCTGTATCCTATACGGAACCGTCATATAGCCTGATGTGCTTTTACCTATGTCGACACAAGGAGCGTTTTGGTTAGCAGGATTCGATTTTACTGTTTTTAAACTACAATTCTCCATGATTTTCTCTCGTACATTTATATCTGCTCGATGCAGTAAAATCGACCTTGCTAACCGAAACGCTTCTATGTGGCTCAATCGGTAAAAGCACATCAGGCTATATGACGGTTTCGTATAGGACACAGGTTCGATTCCTGTCGGAGGACGAATATTTTCTATGAAAGTTTCTCGGACATTCTGGCCGGTAAATGTCGTTAATACTGTTTATTATAAACAGAGCATTTACTTAAATATTTGTATCTATAGAAAGATCGTAAAAACATAAAAATCAAAGCGTTTCTAGTTAAACGAATCTCAAATTCAATTCCGCGAACAATCGTGAAAGGCGTTTTTATTATGTAAATGACAAGGATAAAAGCATTGAAAACTCCCAACTTTCAATATAACTTTTTCTTCATTTAGAGAATTAAGGATCCTATTAAAACACTAAGAGAATAATGTAAAATAAAAACTTAAATTAAAAATATCTTATTTAAAAAAAATAGAAAACTTAGTAAAGCTATTTAATCTTAGAAATTACTTCTTCATTTCGTAATTATAAGCAACACCTTTCAAGAATTTAATAGGATTTAATGATTCAGGTTCCATTACGATTTTTTTTTTATTCATTTGGCATCATCTTTATATTTTTTTTTTTTAGCTTTTTGCGGGGTGGATATCCAGCTATCAACTTTTCGAGAAATATATCACGTCCTTCCCGAAATTTCCGTAAGCAATCTGACGCCAAATCATTCCTCTGCCGAAAAATTCCTTTGTTGAATCAGCGACGTCAAATCGGTCACGCCGAATCAGCGACGCCAAATTGGTCACGCCGAATCAGCGACGCCAAATCGGCCACACCGAATCAGCGACGCCAAATCGGCCACGCCGAATCAGTGACGTCAAGTCGGTCACGCCGAATCAGCGACGCCAAATCGGTCACGCTGAATCAGCGACGTCATATCGGTCACGCCGAATCAGCGACGCCAAATCGGCCACGCCGAATCAGCGACGTCAAATCAGCTACACCGGCACATCCCATTCAACCCGACGGTAGTGCATTTTTCTCTAACAGTGTGAAAAATACATGAATAAAAAAGCCAACAGAGACAAATCACTAAGATAAATGTAAAGTGAAACGAAATTTTAATAATACGTAAAAGAATTTGAAACAAGGAATACCTGAATGCAAAAAATGTTTCGTTTGGTCGTTTTGGTTTACGGGGTATCAACCTCAAAGGTTTATTTAATGCCGACAAGATTTTTATTGCTGATAATATTTTTTTTGCTTAAAAAATGTATTGCTAATAATATTTTTTCATTCAAAAATATATTGTTGGTAATATTTCATTTTTCAAAAATGTATTACTGGTAATATTTTTTCCTTCAAAAATTCAATGCTGGTACTAAAACCTATTTTTACACTTTCATAGTGTTTTGACCCCAGTTTAGGGATTAACTATGTACCCATAGCTGCGGCCCTAACA